TAGCCGGTTCCCCTCCCTATCCGCTCCCCCGGGCAGCTCCACTGCCCCGACCTTGCTTTCCTGTGGCCCATATCCAACTCCCCCACCCACCTCCACAGCCTCTGCCGGAAGCCTGAAACATACGGCTGCATCCGCCCAGCCCGGCTGAGGGCTTAGGGAACCCGGTGCTGCACGGACAGTCTGGGAGCCCGGAACATCCTGGCAGCCACGCTGAGGCCCAGTATTTTTTTGCCGCGGCCCATAGTTTGGGAAACGCTGATCTATGCTAATAGACAGGCACTGTCTGGTTAAATTGTTAACCTTTAACAAGAAATAGATGAATATACATAATATCACTTTCTACTCCCTCACCATACAGGTTACCATTTCAAAGTTCTAGCCTCTCTCATTGATTGGCCCTAATTATTATTTACAAACTTTTCCAAAATGTGTCTAAAGGATTTCCTCTGGGTCATTTGGCCTCCCATCTGCCTAAGTCTTTTCTGGCCATGTGTCTCATCCCCAACATGAGATTGGTGTAGTAAAGAGAAATGAGAACTCCTGAACAAACCTTCAGAACCTCCCAAGTTTGATGAGCTGTGTTTACATTGAATCCTTTGTAAATCCAAATGAATATAACCTTTGGCCCAATCTGACAATTTAATCCATACTCTGTGAAACAATTTAATGATTCCAGGGTTTGATCCACGTGTTAACATAGACATCAGTATTCTTCAGAGAACACATTCAGTCATGAAGGCTGTAAGGCATTGTACCTTAGAACAGTGTTCCCTCGAAGATTCTCCATCCATGAGTGGAGTGTTTTGTCTTGTGCACCAATATTGAGGTCATGTGCGCTTGTTTGGATGTGCCACCGTGGTACTCAAGTTATTAACAAATATCTCATAAACCTCTCCCTTTTCCCTTCTGCTGCCATGTCTCCCCCCCCCCCCTCCCACCCCCCCACCCTGCCTTGATCTGCTGTCCTGGCTCCTGCCCTTCTCACTCCCGTAGCCTTCCTGGGACTTGCCCTCATCCCCATTCTCTCTGACCCCTGCACCTGCCCTTCCCTCCTGTGCCCACCTCTCCTCTAGCTCCCCTCCTCATCTCCTCTCACCTCCTTCCACTCACCTGCCCTGCCTCTCTCCTTTGCCCTCTAGTGCCCATCCACTCCCCTCCCTGTATCTGCCCTTCTGCTTCATCTCCACGACCCCCCTGGCACCTGAACCTTACCTTATCCCCTGCACCCTCCTGGTGCCTCCCCATTCCCTCACTGCCCCTGCCCTCAACACCTGCCCCCTTGCCCTTTTCCTCCCTGGTGCCCACCCCCTCACCACCCTCTGCCCCAGTTCTCCTCACACACCTCTGTGCCCTCACATGACTTGCTCCATCCCCTGCCTTCCTCATGCCCACCCTTCCTTTTAACCCTTCTTCTCCCGGCACCCACTCCTCCACTCTCCTTTTCCTTCCTCTTGCCCCTTCTCTCTGTCCCTCCCCTTTCCTCTCCCAACCTCACCTTGTCCCTTTCCTTCTTCCCATCCCTTCGCCCCTTCTCCTGCCTTTTCTCCTCATTGTTTCCTCTTGGCCCCCTAGTATTTTTCTCTTCTCCACCCTGTCCCTTGGTGCCTTCCCTTTTCTTCTCCTGCCCTGGTCCCCCCCTCTCCCCTCAGCACAAGCCCCTTCCTCTCCTCACCCCCACCTTTCCCTTAGTTCTCCCTCTGTCCCTTCCCTTCTGACTTCCTGACACCTGCACTCTCAACCCTCTCTAGCCCCCTGGGGCAGTTCAGCATGGCGGGCGGCTGCCCCATGTGTCAGAGCTCTTTTTAGTACCCTGGCCCTGGCCCAAGAGCAGCTGCACTGTGGCTGGACTCCAGTCCTGGCACACAGGGCAGCCACCCACCATGGGAGCATTTAGGGCTGGAGCTGCATGGCAGCTTCTGGGGCTGGGATTGTGGTACTAAAAATAGCACTGTGGCCCTGGTTACAGCGGTGGAATACAAGGCAGCTGCCTGCCATGTGCCACTCCTCTTCCAGCCCTGGGAGCAGCTAGGGCAAGGGCTGTGTGGCAGCTTCTGAAGCCGGGCCCATGGTACTAAAATTAGCACCGTGGCCCTGGCTCCTGTCCCAGTGCATGGAGCATGGCAGTGTGGCAGGTGGCTACCTTGTGTGCTGGGACTGGAGCAGGGACCATAGTGCAGCTGCTCCTCAGGCCACAGACCAAGCTCCAGCTCCAGCAGCTGCCACATGGACTGCCCTGGGTGCAGTTTCAGCCCTAGGGAAGGGCTGAAGTTAGGGCCAGGGGAGCATGGTGGCTGCCCAGCTGCTCCTGGAGCAGGGCAGGGCAGCTACCCACCATGTGGCCTCGCTCCAGAGCAGCTGAGCAGCCAGTACGTAGCTTTGCTAGAGAGGTGGATGGAATCAAATTGTTGGTGTGCATCCATGCAGGCTCACACCTTAGAAGGAACTATGCCTCAGAATTCCTTTTTGCAGTTCAAGTTTGTTTTTCCTGCTGTGTGAAATTTTCAAATCACGTATAGGCATTAGCTGTGAAACCTCTACACTACCAGGTTTTTTAACATAAGGTGTGTTCTTATTGAACAAAACAGAATGATCATAAGAATTTCTGTTACATAGTCTGTTTACATGAACCACTCTTCACATGTTCAAGGGCATTTCCAAAAGGACATTCATATTGTATATTTTTCCACTTTTCTGGTACTAGCCACGAGTTAGTTACAAGAGTTACCGTTAGCAATAAAATTAACATCAGTTTTATCATAATTGTGTACCATGTATAATCATGTTTGTCACGCCAACCCTTTTGTTTGGCTAGACCAGTTTGATCAATACCCCTTTTGAATCGTAGCTTCTTTTTTTTTTAACACCTCGGGGCTTTCCTTAACAGTTTAACTGTATCCTTAAGGTGTTGGTATTTTAGTGATGAGTCAGGAAAATTTGTAAGGACACTTTACCTTCCAAGAGTTAACTGGCCTCCCTTCTTTTCCTTTCTCAGAGGGTTGAATTTTAAAATTGCAGG